AACATTTTCTTTGATTTCTTTAAATTAATAAATCTCTAAATTCTACAAAATTAAAATGTCTCAACAACTATCTTCTTTTTCCAAAAAAATGTGAAAAAGCTTTTGAAACTGCTTTTAATTTTCTTGAACAAAATAATATAAATAATATACAAGCAGATTATAATGAATTAAAAGCTTTAAAATCATTGAAAAAAAAAACAATAAAATCACATAGTATTCAAAATTCAATACAACAAACGTTACTAGTTTTTCAGTAAATAATTGACTATTAGTTAGCATTTAATTTTTTGTAAATTATATCAAGTATTGTATTAAGTATTATTTATTATATTTAAATCACAAAAAATTTTATTATTTATTAAAATTTTCCTGTTGATCCTGTAGATCATTATCTCGTTTCAACGGATTTAGGTGGTCAGTCCCATAGATCCGTTGAAACGAGGTTTGACTGTATGTTTTTCCAATCCTATGTAAGTTGTGAGGATCTAATACAAATAAAAAAAAGTATATACTAGAAAATTTTTTTTTTTTACAAACCAAAATTTGTTTCCATTTATTATTTTATGAATGAAATCATCATTAACAATTGGAGGAGTTTCTATTATTATATAGTTTGTTAATATTAATTGTATAAATTGTAAAGGTAAATTAATAATTTATTTTAATGCTGAAATTTATTATATATATATATATTTTCTAAATGTGAAATGAGTATTTCTCTATTATTCAATGATATAGCTATTTAATTATAAGAAACACAAACAAAACAGGATGAACAGACAAATAATTGGATCATTTGGGATTTTATATACAGATAACTTTAATATTTGCATTTTAATTAGAATTAAAATTGATTAAATAGATTTTGGTTCATATTCAAACATGATGAATTTCAAAACTGCGGATGATACACATATGGCTTTGCCTACACAGAAAAAAGGACAGGGAAGTTAGATGTTTTTGACCCTGTCATGGAAAAACATTGTACAATTTGGTCATGAAGTGTATGACAATTGGATGAGCCTTTTATTATTAGTTTGTTAATTATATATATAACTGAAGGTAAATAAGAATCTATTTTAATGCTGAAATTTGTTATACTGCATTAATTATAACACAAACAGAATAAGTAATATTTTAACATTTTAAAAAAAACAGTATGGATTTTATAATATGCCGATCATTATTAAAACTTTTTAATATTGCTTTCAAGAAAAATCATGTATTTTTCCGCAAAAATATCCGCAAATTTGCGCAGCATCGTGAAAATATCCAATTTTATTGGTGGGT